GTGTGGTGGTATTTGTGTTCTGTCAGTTCAGGGATGCTCGTTGTGTTTTGCTGAGCATCACTCAGTTCACATCTGTATAAACACTGGGAACGCAGCACAGATCTTTAAAAAGCAAATCAGCCCAAAGAAAGCTTTGCTGAAGGAGTTTCCCTGGTTTTGCAAGCTGGAAAAGAAGGGAGGGGGAAGGAGAGGAGGGGCTGGAAAGTAAATATATTATGTACAATGCTGTTCATATTAAAATCACTTAATTTGTATTTTAGATTTAGGGGAAAAAACATGTTGTAATGATGAACAGCAGTGTTTGAGAAATGTATATTTTTTTATTTTCCCAGACAGTGGCTATTTGTCATTTTTATCTCTGCGGCTTGTAGACTTGATTGGATTTATTATGTATGCTGCATGTTTATGGCGCTTTTATTGTATGCTGTTAATTTGTTGTAACTGCTGCCACTTTCTTGCCAAGGACCCCTTGAAAGCAAGTATGTGTCAACAGTTACCTTCCAGTTTAATAAACTTAAGCTATTTCTCAAGTTTGGTTGTTCTGTGTTCATGGGGAGCTTTTGACCCTGTTGTAGCTGAAGAAAGTTGCTGAAACACAGGCTCAGTCAGGCAGCACATGTGTTTGAAGGTAAAGCACTGTTTTTCTTGGTTTTTTTGAGAGGGTTTATCTGTATTTTAAATTAATAACCCAGCACTAGCCTATGGATACCATTACTTTATTTTATGGCAAAGAAAGTAAAAGGAAAAAATCTCAAGCTTCTTTTAATTAAGCATGTCAATCGGCTTTTAAAGCCAAATATAAAATGTCTTTTAAATATGATAGCTAATAGTGAAAAATGAGATAATACCTTTTTATGTTTTTGAAGCCCAGAAACATTGATAAATTATCCAAACAGGATTAGTGTGTAGTTATTGGCAATAAAACTGAATGTATTTATATGATAAGGATTAAACAAGATGAGACTTCAGTTTTTGGAAAAGAGGCAAAGATAAAAATAATCCTAAGAAAAATAATGTGCTGTGGATATATATTTAAGGCACAACTGGAGGTAGAATTAAAACGGTGGATTAAAGGTGTTTTGTGGTAAAATAATGGCTGGAGTTGATACATTCCATTTTCATTCTGTTTAATTTATTTGAGTTCATTGCCTGCTGATGAATCTCACTGATGATGCCAATTCCATGAGGTCAGCTTTGTTATTAACTTCCTTGATAACGAGGTGGAAGTGTGCTCTGGAGAAGGAGCAAGAGTCCTTCAAATGGATGGGAACTTTTGGGGTTTTTTTACTGTGAGGGTGAGGTTCTCCAGCCCATGATAGAGAGTGATGGGTGATATGTAACCCTCAAGAAGGGGTGCTCCTGGGTGGAGGTAGGAGATCTTCTGGCTTTGAGAGTTGGAGCATTGTACTTTGGTGGAATCAGGTTTGCGAGAGGGCTGAATTTTAACATCTGTGAAATAAGGCACATGGGAACACAGCACAGTCGTAGTGTGTGTGGCCACAGCATCTCTTCAAACCTGCAGATTGCATCTTGTCCTGCAAGAGCCCTGCATCAAAATCCTCCTTCCTGGAAAGGTCATGCAAGTTTTGCTTTGGCATTGATAAAACCTGTCTGTTTTCACTCTTCATGTCTAAAGGCTGGTTTGCTCAACGGTGCCTTACAAGGCAAGCTCAGAGTTTGTTCAACTTCTCTCATTGGTATGAACTGGGTCCTGTGAGCTCTGCCCCTGTTTTGTCTCAGATTATTACATTCCCCTCCCGTTCCACCTTGCTCATCACCATGTGCATATTTCATATTGTAATGGTTGCCCATATGTGTGCTTGGAAAAAGCACCTGCTTTTTCCAGAGTCACAGTACTACCTAGGGAGACACCTGATTTGTAATCCTGGTTATATTAAAAGCCAGTGTAATACTGATGGGCCACAGAGTGCAGATTCAGAAAGAGAAAAACCCCTCACTGAGTGATTAGATATGCATTAAAACAATCCCATATTGCTAATACCCACATTTGCACTGGTGTGCACGTGTGTGTGCACACATGCCCTCTGTCTTACTTTTGAGCACTCTGCGCTCACATATGAAGGGTGGACTTCCACCCATGACAATGTAGAAAACAGACTTTTTTCCTCCTTTCTTGCCTTTTTTTTTTTTTTTTGGCCACATTCCTTTATGCAATAGTTGAGTTTGTTAATGACAAGCACTCTAGTTGGGCACTATTCACAGTGTTCTGCATTTATCATATGGCAGTGCTCTGATGAATCAGCATGCAGACAGAAACACAAAGCATTGACTAAACAGATTACCAGGAATAGTTTATTTAGAGAGGGGATGTTCCTGGTGGGATGAGAGGATCTGAATCTGCTCAGCTTTAGCATGTGGGGCTGTAACGTCTCCCTCTCTGCCCCCTCTGCCAGAAAAGTTGAGGCTGACTTTGTTCTTTGCTGATGTATGTTGCAGTAGAAAAATGTACTTACAAGATGCTGTGATTGCTTCCCTAAATCAGTTATATTTTATGTGTAAGTGACTTACTACATACCTGGCTTATTCCATGTTTAGTTCTGTGATTTATGTGGGCAGAAAGGTACATTTGAGTCTTTAGGAGGAGGACTTGTGGAGTGTCTGACCTGGATGGAGGGAATTGAAGCACCACCTTGCACTTGATGAGCTGGTGGTCAAACTTGTGTGATCTAAAATGGCTTTTTGCTGTTGGGTTTGTGCTGTGAATCCATGAAAGGATGAATCCCCCTCCTGAACTCTGAGCATCCAGGTCCCCTGCCTGGGTGGTTGGCTTCCTGCTTGTGGCAAGCATCTCTCCATTCCCCTTGTGCCAGACCCTGCCAGAGACTAATTCTCTGCTCCATGAGATGTTACCCTGCCAAACCCAACCCAGGACAGATAAACTGAGAAAACAGGTCTCATGTGAAACATACAAGTAACAAGCATTGTTTGTTTAGTGCTTCCCCACCCTCCTGTTTAATTGTATAAATTAAATGTCGCGTCAGTCTGCCTCAGGTGTTGGCATCCTATTCAAATTTCAATTACCACCATTAAAGTATATTTATGCAGTGCATGAATATAGGGAGAACATATTTATAGCAATCTTTTATTGCTAGTTACATTCAAAAAAATAACACTGAAATGCTGAATTGGTAAGTTAAAGCAACTTTTAAGTTGAAGGAAAAATTATTTTCTCACACAATACAAGTCCTAGATGAAACAAACAGCGATGAATTGTATCGCTGCTCAGCTCATATCTGTGTGACTGTACAGCAGTAATCCTATATTGTTACTGGAACCACCTAAATAATTAATTGTAAGAAAACAACATAGTTAAGGCTCAGGAGGGGAGCAAAGGGGAGAGGTGCAATACTGAATTTTCTCACTGCCTGAAAACATTTCCAAGGCTCTCTTTAGCCACTGCTAGGAAGAATATAATTGAACAGAGGCTGAAATTATACTTCTGAAAGAATAAGCTTTTCTGTATATCAAACATTTCATACAGTAAAACAATGCTATACCTGATGAATAATTAAAGTACTGAAGAAAAACATCTTTGCATGTGTAACTTAATTATATGTGTGAAGCTTTTTTACCCTTATGAAAAAAATGTAAGGAATGACTTTTGTTTTCATCTCTGTTCATTATATGAGAGGCTCTTTCTGTAAAATATGAAGTGTTGTGGAGCTTTGTGAACTTCTCAGTGGCTTTCTGGGATTGTCCTACGTGACCCTTAAAGTGTTGGTGATAGATTCAAGTGTGGTGGCATTTTCAGGGTGGGTTTTTTTTGTTTAAAGCAATGGGTAAAAACATATAAGGAGAGGAGACAGTGCAAATGGTAGCACTGCTTCCTTGTGTACACAAAGAAGGGCTTGTGTGAAAGAGAATTAAGAGTTCAGTATTTAAATAATGAGAAAATAATATTAATTTATAGGTTTTTGTGAGTGCATATGAACTCTTAGATAAAGTTGTAGCCAGTCTAAAGTATTCTTTTCTTCCTTACTCCATTAAGTGAACATGGTTTATTTTTTTCTAAATATTGCTAAGACAGACGCTTTTCCAGCTTTCACCTTCAGGCCGTTTTGCACCCACTGTCCAATAAACTCATGATGGTCTTGGGGCTCTTGCACCACCAGTGCAAATGCATCTGGATCAGAGATACTGACATTATCTCCAGCAACCTGGACTTCAGATTACTCCAAGTGACCAGTGTGTTTGTGTTGGGCAGTTGTAGGGAGCTCAAGTTCCCCAGCATAGTGATTTTACAGGTGTTCTGCAGTTATTGGGTGCTTCTTTCTCTCACAAGAGAAATACCAGCTGGGAAGGGGCTTTTAACTCATCCAATCTCAGCCCTTAGTTGTGCTCCTGTCTCCACTGCTGCTGCACCTGGATGGCTTTCCCTCTCCAAGTAAGAGGTTGGCAGCTGCTCTGTTCAAGACTTTGTAGCCTGTTGAATCATTCAAATGTGTGTCCCCCACAGAAGGCACTCTTTTTCTTTCCTTATTCTTTTTTTTTCCCTCAGCGCAGTCAAATGTCTGGTTTTGTTTCTCACCTCCACGTAATAAAATCAAAACTATTAGTAATAGAAGAACCTGTAGAAAGGGGAGGTTTTTCTTCCATCTGCTACTTCATGCTTGGGTGTGAAAGGAGCCAGGATCATGTTTCTGACCAGGCAGTTGTCTCGCTGGCATCCTGGATGTGGGGAGGCAGGGGAAGGTGCATCAGGGAGAGAAGGGGCACCCTGAATGTGGCTCAGTCACAGCAATGAAACCCCTGGTGCCATCCATTGTTGTGCTGGGCAGGGAGGTCTGTCTGTTGTCACAAGCTGCACCCAGGAGCTGGGTCACAAGCCATTCAAATACATCCTAAACAAGTATTCTCTTGTGAAACGGGCAAGGAAACCGCTCGAAAAACATCCTTGTGGATTGTTTTTAACCCAGTCTCTCAGGACAATGTATGTCCCAATGTGAGCCTTGTCCCCTGTAGCACAGGAATGAGGTGAAGTGGGTTGCATCTGGTTAATTAATGTTTTCCTAAAGGTTTCTTTGGGGACCTTCTTCCTCTGAAAGTACTTTTCTAAATTTCTGTGAATTAAGGGTGGGAGGAGATTTGATTAGCTTGGGTATTCCTTGGTAGTCATCATGAAAGCCTTCATTTTTGTTTGGGAGGATTGAAGAGTTTTCCTGATGTATGTAGTGGTTACTGCTATGGAAATACCTCTAGTGCAGAGGCAGAGCTACTTAAAAATACTTTCAGCCAGCAAATCCTTGCTGTGTTTGCAAGGGTTCCTTTGGCAATGAAGATGATTTCAGAAAAGAGTATTTTTTCTTCTTAAAAGGTTACTAAGGATACTGTCCCTAAAATAAGGATAGGAAACTCTTAAATATGGCATCACAGATTGGATACCTTTGCTTCTAAATCACTTGTATTTGATATGTGGGTGCTTGTGTTGTTTTCTCATTCTTTGTTAGTCTGTCTGTGCAAACAGATGTACATTGTCTTCAGGATTATTTCAAACCAGAAACTATTTAAGGCATTCTAAGGTGAAAACAGCAGTATTGGAAGTCCAAGCTGGAAGCAGGTGCTAATCCTGCTGCTTGTTAACTCAGGGAAGGTTTGGGTGTAACCAGTGAAGGGTTTTTGTTTGGTTTTGAGCATTTCAGTCAAAAATGTATTTTTATTTTCTATAGACCCAAGTACACAATCTGAATATATTCTGTACTTGGGAGTAATTTTTGCTATTTAATGCTAATAATATTTACAATATTTACTTTGTTCCTGTTAGGTTGTCTTTAGCTCTGTAAATGCATCTTTGACTTCTCCTGTACGTCACTGCATGCTCAGATGGCTTCATGTAGAGACAAAGTCATCAGAGCATTGAAAACGATTGAAAATTTCTGAGCATCTCAGTGATGCTGTTGGTTTTCATTTTCCAAGAGCAATGCAACCCTTCACTACAGGTTGATATACCTGACATGTTAGAGGGGAATTTTTTAAAAGAAATTGGTTTTCAAGGATATTTTATTCTTGAGCTGTAAACAAACGTTGACATCAAAGTCTCAGGCATTTCTAGCTGAGGTGTTAAAGATATCTACATAGTTCTCTGCTGCTCCTGGAAGATGCTGCCAATTTTATTAGTTTTTAGAGTTCTCTGGAGCATAGTTGAAGATGAAGGTGAGTCTCTATACTCTTCAGATAACAGAATGTGCACTGTTGAGAGGTTTCCATCCCTTTCTTCTTTATACGAGCAGAACAGCTTTGCTAAGCAGACACATATTTTAATGATGGTAAACTACATTTACACATTGTACAGTGGTATTTTGCTACATTAATTACCTTGTCAAATGTAATAGGTAATTACCACATCAAATCACCTTCATATGTTACATGGAGGCATAACTTGCTAAATTATTTAGAAAAACAAATAAACAACATCCTGGAAAGCCAAGGGCAACATCACCACAAACCTGTCTCTTTTCTTTTAAAATAACCCACTGATGCATGTGAAGGCAGGAGCCTCACTAACATCAGCCAGTGTTGGCTTTGGGGTATGGCAGTGGCTGCTCTGTGTCCCCCAACACCATGCACGTCTGATTTTAAATAAAATCTTCTGATTTTATCTGGGGTTTTTTGTTCCTAGAGTGAAGTTGGTCTTTTCAGTGCATCCATGAACAGATTTGTGCCCAGTCTAGGCTGTACTGGAAGGAGCACTTCTCTCATGTGACCAGCTGTAGTACGCCGAGGAAGAAAACCAATAAATTCTGGTTATTCTTTCCTATCTGATAGCTACCTAAATGGCATTTCTGGTGAAACTCTGCAAGAAATGTGTGAAACTAGTTAGTGCTTTAATGTTCAGAGAGCACGTGCCACAGTGGTACCCACAGGGACCAGGAGCCGAGTGATGCAGATCTTTGTCTTGTCTTACCATAGCAGAAAAGGGATGTGGGGGAAAGGCTGCTTTGAAGTGCAATTGTGAGTAGAGACCAATCTGTAAAGCTCAGTTAGCAGGTTGCTTTGCAGATAAGTACTGATGCTTTAGATCCTCCTTACTTTGCCTTTTTGGAAGTCTTACTCAGTGTCCTCAAGGGTTTTGGCAGAGGCTGCTTGGTGAACTACATAGCTCTGGGAAAAATAAAGAGCAAAGGGGTTCTGTCAGGGAGGGGAGACCCTCTTGTATATTGATATTTTGTGTCTTTTGTTTAAATATGTGTGCTGTCTTTTGTTCAGTGGTGAAAGAAGGATGAAAAGAGGTGGCAAATGCTTCTGTTTGTACTTTCATATGCATTACATGAACCTAGAAAATACTCCAATTACCACTTTTTGGAAGACAAACTCATTTATTTTGAAAAGTGTGTGAATATGTTACTATGTAACTATAACTATCAATCTATCTATCTGTGTGTATATATATGCCTAACTATATATAACTATTATTCAGTCTTGAGGAGACTGAGGCAAGACTTCATTGTGATCTTCAACATCCTAATGAGGAGAAGCAAAGGGGCAGGTACTAATCTCTTCATTCTTGCAACCAGTAGCAGCACTCAAGGAAATGATGTGAAGCTGTGGCGGAAGTTTAGGTTGGATATCAGGAAAAATGGTTTTCACCCAGAGGGTGGTTGATGACTGGAACAAGTCATAGCATTGAGCCTGTCTGAGTTAAAGAAGCATTTTAACAACGCTGCTGGGCACATGGTAGAATTCTTGGGGTCTCCTCCACAGGGCCAGGAATTGGGCTCAATGATTGTGATGGATCAGCATATTCTGTGATTCCAATAATGGCTCCTTGGCAGGAACTGAAACTTATTTATGAGGCACCCTCTAGTCTCAGTGACGTGGCCTCTTGCGAGCTGAAAAGCCTTTGGTGCTGCTGGCCCTCCTTTTTCATGGTTGCCGTGGTTCCCCAGCTGAAGGATCACTGTCCCTAATGAAATTAGGAGGGCCTGGGCACAACCTTTCTGGTTCCTCCTGGGGCTCTTGTTCCTCATGGATGGTAGTGGAAGCAGAGGGGTGTGTACTTGTACCCCATCCAATGGCACTAGATGAGGTGCTAGGCATCTCATCCACACTGGATCTTGCTGGATCAGGGGTAAGAGATGAAGAGCTGTCCTCCTGCCCTGTGGCACCATGGGTGTCCCTCTGGTGTGGCAGGTGGCGGTCCTCCCTGCAACCCTGCTGCTCAGGGATGTGTGTGTGCTGGGCCCTGGATGTTGCTGTTTCAAACAGCATCTCCAAGCTCTGACAGAACCATGAGTGCAGAGTCTGTTGTATTGCTGAGTTGGCAGAGAAACAGCTCATCCAGTTTGGGAGCTGGAAGCCACCCACAAAACGCTTGATGTCTCCCGCTGTCACCCACTGTTGATGTGCTCCAGGGCAATGGAGGTTGGGAGCATCTGGCTCTCTGTGAGCTCTTCTTGCTGGGAAGACTACTGGTGGTGTCATGGGTGGAGTGATGGCATGCTCCTCAAAATCATCATCTGCTCGCAGTGAGTGCAGGATGGAGATCATCTTCTCCTTGCACAAGGGGCACTGGGTTTTGTTGTCGGCCCACTGCAGGATGCAGGCGTAGCAGAAGCAGTGCAGGCGCGGCATCACAAAGCTGGACTCCCTCCAGCTGTCCAGACAGATGGGACAGTGGTCCTCCACCTCTTTTTCCATGCTGTCCCTGCACTGCAGTGGGCTGGGGGGCACTTGGGATGGTGAGCCACTCCCCCTTGCTGCTTCTGCAGCTGTGCCCTCCATGCTGGGGAAGAGCAAGAGACACAGTAGTCACTGATGGGCCCAAGGAGGGGAGGAGGAGACACCCAGGTCTCAGGAAGGAAACCCTCCCCGGGGTGACGTGTCCTTGTCCAGCTCACCTTGGCTGCCGTGAGCGCACCTTCCTCAAGCCCCGTCTGCGTGCTCCTGGCATGGCCGGGGAATGTCCTCGCGTGGCTCTGGAGTGAATGACCGAGTGCTGTGACCAACTCTCAGCTCACTGCCAGCTCCGAGGCCTGGCACGCCGCACCTCGCGTCCCGCTTGGCCGGAGTCCGTGCGCAGGCTGGCTGGGTCGATCCGTGCCCAGGTATGAACAGTCAGGGCAGGTGACACCACAGTCATCGCTTGGAGGCCCCTCGGTTCCTTCCTTGATGACCTTGGAACCCATCGCTTGGGCTGTTAGCAACACCAGAACCCGTCGCTCGGGGCTGGCACGGCCTTGGGCCGTCCCTGCCATGGCGCTGCCTGGCATCTCTGTGGGCCCAGCACAGGTTAGGCCTTGTCCCTGCCCACCCCATCCCCTCTCTCGTGCTCAGCATCGGTGTTTCCCCCAGGTCTCCGCCGTGTCTGCCCAGGGCTGTCAGGTCGCTCTGGCTGTGTCAGATGTCTCTGGGCACGTGTGGCCAGAGTTCACTTGGTAACACCTCATGGTGCCCTTGGAGCTCTGTTGCTGCAGGCAGTCCCTCTGGGCTGCTGCTTCTGCCAGTATCTTTCCTTCTCACACACTTCTCATGCTTTAGTTCTTTTTCTCCGTGGTATCTCTGCTGGATTTCACAGGACTGGTGATCTCCCATTCCCTTCCTGCCCTCTCACCTACTGCCACCTTGCAGTTGTACCTTGTGTCCTTCCTCAGGCCGAGAGCCTGCAGTCAGGGCCTGGAAAGATGAGCAGAAGGTTGGAAATGATTGCTGGTTGTTTGGATCACTGCAGTGAAGCCATTCCTGTGGGTTTTTTTTCACCTGGTGGTTTATTCGTAGCCTAAAGCTGGTCTTTTGAGTGAATCCCTGAGCAGATCTGTGTCTAGCCTAGGCCATGCTGAAAGGAGCACTTCTTCTATGTGACTAACCACAGTACACAGAGGAAGGAAAGTAATAAGTTTTGGATAGCTACCTCAGTGGCATTTCTGATAAAGCTCTGCAACAGATATGTGAAAGTTTAGTTCTTTAATGTGCAGAGAGCACATGCCACAGTGGTATCCACAGGGACCAGGAGCTGAGTGATGCAGGTCCTTGTCTTACTGCAGCAAAGTGAGGTGAGGGAAAGACTGCTTTGAAGTGCAGCTGAGTGAGTGGAGAGACATAAAGCGGTGAGCTAGTGGGGACTGAGTGAGAGGACTCTTCCCAAACCATGAGCGTACTTGTATGCCGATTAATTAATTGTAGTCCAGACATTGCTTTTAGCAAGCCACACAACTTCACCAGTTTTAAAGACCTGCATAAGTTCTAAGTCTGTTCCCATGTGTTTCATAAAGCTCAGTTAGCAGATTGCTTTGCAGAAAACTTTTAGAACTTTATATCCTCCTCCCTTTGTCTTCTTTGGGACCTGTGAAAGGTTTTTGAGGGAGGTTGATGGAGCAGGCTGGCCCCAGAGAGCCCCTGCCCATGGCCCAGGGAGCAAAACTGTAGTGATCCAGCCATCTCTTGTGGAAATCTTGGCAGATCATCAGGATCAGGAAGTTTGTGATCTGAATCTATACTGAGTGTTGCTCCTCATCCTGACAGAGGGTGAGCCTCTTCTGTCTTTGTGCTCTTGTGGGGAATGGCATCCTTTGTGCTCACCAAACTCTTAATCATTCTCAGAGGCAGAGATGGCAGGGAAAGGAGAGAGCTGCCTCACTGTTGCTCCTTGCTGCCCAGGTTGGCCTGCTACCCTCACCACAGCTTCTCTCTAGCCTTGGGTGAACCCTGGCTGTCTGCAACGGGACACCCTGAGATTGCAGGGCTGCTGCCACCCTCCAGTGCAGAGCCAGGGGCCAGCAGGAGAGGTCCTGCCTCCATCTCTGAAGCTGTGGGTGAATTGTTGTTTTTTTTTTTTTTAATTTGGTTGTTTTTGAGTTTTTTAATTCTTTGGTGGTTGCTGCTTCCTCTTGCCCAAGATTTCTTAGCCAGCGTGCAGGGAGAACTTGCCTTAAATGGGAAGTATAACCAAATCCATTGCAAATTAGCAGTTAAACTGACAGAAGGACGTTGGAGTTTTTAGTTGTTGCGTTTTAAAGTTGGCCAAGTCATGCTGTGGATATAAAAGGATTGTTCTTCACACTCTGGCATTCTGGCGAGGAGGCTACTGTGGTGTGTCCACACAATGTGGCTGAACGTGGCATAATTTGGTTTGAAATAAACTTGATGACTTTCTTCTCCTCTGTCTGAATTAATATTGGGGGTTTATGAGAACAGAGAGCAAAATGCATCATGTCCTCGTTTTTCTGACAGCTGACACACAGAGATGCCGTTGTTTAGGAGAAGGCCACTCACCAATCCATCCCCAGCCATGTGGAAAATGTTAGCGGTGCTGTATCTTGGATACAGCACCTCTACTTTCCAAAGAGATGAACACTGTTAAGTGTAGCTTTCTGCAGGAGCTGAGCCTCTGTTTAGGATTCTGGTATCTCTTTTTCTGGTCTTTTCTTTCCTGCTGAGTGTTGAGGTATTTCTGGGGTAGGTGCCAGGGCTGTTCTCTCACTAATGATTCATGTGCCCTTCGCATGTTGCTCGGCAAAATGACATGTAACAGCGTGTACCCAGTATTTACGTTACATTGGCTTGGCTCTCCAAACATGTACTTTTTCTTTCATCTCGGAAGTTGTGCCACTCCAATAGATTTGTGGTGCTGCCGTTGGTAGAAGTTATTCAAACGTTAATTTTTTGAGTATTTGGGGCCACTGGTGAAGTGCCCAGTGCTCTGCTGCATCATGGTTTCTAAAGATGGCATGTGGTACTCTGCAAAGGGACCCTGTTGCTGAGCACGTGAGATGGTCTGGCACTTGGCTCTGAACTCTAATGCTGCACTGTAGCTCCTCTGCTATTGGTACCCTGTCAAAAAAGGGTGATGAACCATAAGGTGAGAACTGTAGGTATCAGGCTCCATGCAAATAAAACCCTTCCTAAATACAGATATCAGTGCAAGTCAGCAGTGAGCAGCCAGGAGGGCACAGGTGGGGCTTGTAGAGCCCTGGCTGGGGCCAGGGATTCCCCTCGACCTCAAATTTTCTAGTATGTTCCTAATAGAGTTGTGGCTTTTCCAGAGCAGATACAGCATACGAAGGGAAACCACTGATTGAATTCCTGGAGAGCACTAGAGACCCATTAGCTGGTAATGGCTTTCAAACTGTCCTGGGGTGGTGGTGGAGCGTGTGTCTCCCTCACCTTTATGTGTAACAACTTTCAAGTTTATAACGTTTTTCTAAATGACTCAGTAGCGTGTGCTAGGCTTTTAGTGGCCCACTTGAAACACTCTTAGAAGGGTTTGCTTTTCAGAAAGAGCTAAGTGTTATCCTTAGAAATTCAGGCTCTTTTCAGGTAGTAACGTATCTTCAGTCTGTGTGCTTAAGGTATGACACGCTCCGGTCGGTCCATTGGCCTCTTCCAGGATTGTAATTCTGCATTGCTGCAGATGCACTAGGAAAGTATAGAACCATAAATATGGTAAAGATGTGTAGCTGAAATATGCTCCATAGCTGTGCTAGATCAGGACCCATAGTGAGGGATAAAGGCTGATTCTGAAAAGTACCATTCAACTCTTCTTACTCTTTATACTTTTACATCCAGATCCTTCAGAGATACATAAAGCCCTTATAAACTTTCAGAGTTCCTAGGGAGGAATCAGTTGTTACAATATAACCAAAAAAAAAGAGGCCCTTTTATTCTTAACCTGTGATTTGTCTTGTACAAGTTTCTGTTCTAGGGAATTTCTTTTTCCTAGGAGAAAGAAAATACCTTCAGAGCCTCCCTTTATCCATGAAATTTATGTCCTGAGTGATCCAGACAGTAAAACTCCATGGAGATCTATGTTATTTGAGAAATACTATTAAAAATTAATCCAATTTTCTATTCTTCTGGTGTAAATAAATGACAAAAAAACCAGCTTGAAATCAAAATGGCCACTTTCTGAGTTTTAGGCAGAATAAAAGGCTGTTTATCCTTTCCACTTTTACTTTAAGCCATGGTTTTACTATTCAAGAAACAAATTCTAATCAGCCACCGTATCAGACAAATGGAAGCTTTAGTGAGGGGTTCGTATGTTGGGAGGGAGCACTAAGATTCTCATTATAGTGCATGTCTGAATAATTAGTAGGACCACTCCGCACTTTTTTTTTGGCAGTAAGAAGAAACTCTCAGTTCAGTGCAGCGACAGACTGACAGGAGCATCGAGCAGTGCAGTCATTAGTGTGTGTCTGCCATCAATGTCATGTTATGGTGTCAAATTAGTTAGTGCCCCCTCCGGATCCAAGCTGGACCTGCAAATTATCCTCCTACATCCCAGGAAACCGTGTTTGCTAAACCTCAGATCAAATGGGAACAAATGATTAACATGGCTCATAAATTAACTACTTTACAGGCTTATAACTTTTTACAAGTAGATAATAAAGACAGAATTTTTAGGACTGTGTTGTATTTACTTCAAAGCTGTGATGTATTCTGGTTTTGGGTTTTTTTTTTCTTTGCCTATTTATTGTAGATAGGTTTGCTTTTCTCTCAAGGGATAAAAAATTGTATACAGCCAAGGAAATAATGTTTAGAAAATCTAGTGTCCTAAAGGAAGCAAATGTAAATCCACTGAAAACAATATAATTAAGTTTGTTATCTCATTGCCTGATAAGTCGCTGACAATAGTCTTTCTTCTTGTAGTGGCAGTTGTTCATTAATGAGTTCACCAATTAAGTTTGAAAGATTACAGCCTTTGCCAAGAGGATTTATCTGTTTAAAAGCATTATATTTTTTGTGATACATTCTTACCATATTGTAAGCCTCTTTGTTAAAGAGGTATAAGACTACCTCTTAAACACATTAAATCCTATTACAGGCCCAAAAATAATTTTACAATCTGTTTACACATTAGCATCTACAAAACTGTAACAAATCTGTCCAGAGATGTCTGTTTTGAGAATAGGATGCTAACAGATAGTGCACTCTCTTGAAGCTGGATTGCCCTTGCGAAACGAGTGCTTTTTTGCTGCAGAATAATTGTTTTATAATGATTTATGACTATGCAAATAATATTCTTTTTTTATCTCCCCCTTTTTAAATCTCTTCTCAGCTGTGTTTTTTAACCAATGCAGAAATAGTACTGAATTTTTAGTGCTCTTTTATAGCATTTGAATCTAAAATAAACTGAAAAGAGTAAGTTTTGTACTTTCTATATATTAAAGTCTCGTTCCCCCACATGCAAGCTACTGTTACCTTTCTTTTGTACCTTCAAGGGGGTGAGTAAGCCTTGATGTCAGAGATCAAATCAGCATTTTGGAAAGGGCCTAGCATGCAAAAACGTGC